ACAGAATACCAGCGTAAAATAGCGGCTCAATGCTGCTGTGTTTCGTATGGTGAGTGTAGAGAACCGGAGACCCTTTTAACTGGAAACGAAACATTCCATCTAAGTCCTCAGGGGTGAAAACGCATCTGCATTTTGATTCTTAATCGAGGATGTATGTAGATGTCTATGGGTCACAACATCCACTTACCATCAGGTGGACTGTGTGCTCGTTTGTCAACCTTATTCTATAAAAACATTCCTTGCTACTTGAACACCTGCTTAGTGGATTTGTACTCTGCGGTCTGCTATGTCACGTGTTAATGTGTTTGTACAGCTAGCAGCTACAGATGCATTGTTACCTCTGAGTAATCAGATAGAATACCTCACAGCCTGCACTAGGATCTTTTCTTGTATTGTGGCATTTTACATACATAAGTTTCACGGACATTTCAAGGACAAACATCCAGACCCGGAGCAATTATTTGTACGCCATACAAATACGTGTTCCGTGCGGGATTCGAACCCGCGGCCCTTAGCGCTGCAACTTATTGCTAAGCCACTGCGCCACGGACCCGTCTATATTAATTATACTAGGTCTCTATAACTCTATATCCTTCAGAGTGGAGTACAGCAGTGCACGCACTGCTACTTGGCGGCTATAATAGGCAAGACGATGATACCTACAAAAACGGACCTACCACCTAGTGTTCGTAAAATTATTGAGAAGGAGAAGAGAGAGCCACAAAACTATCTTCCCTTTTCAAAATCAGCCGGTGACTATAGTCAACCTCAATATACACTATAAAAGTCAAAGTTACAGCGTATATACGTCCCACTGCTGACCAGACGCCTACCCTCATTTCTGAGAGGGTTTTAGGGCAAGGAAGTGTCCGTCGCGCTGCCCCAATGCGTGTTGGCGAACTTCACATGTCTTCGTAATATTTTTTAGGGTTCCGTACCACAAAAGGAAAAAACGGAACCCTTATAGGATCACTTTGTTGCCCGTCTGTCTGTCTGTCTGTCAAGACCCTTTTTCTCAGGAACGCGTGGAGGTATCAAGCTGAAATTCATATCGAATACTCAAGTCTACTGTCCCTTACAGCTGTGAAAAAATCAAACTTCTAAGCCAACGCAATCAAAAGATACAGCCGTTTATGCCGTAAATTTTCGACATTCGCAAGGGAAATGTCATCAAAACCTACATGGTACTTCCCGTGAACTCAGAATCTTGAAATTTGGTACGAATTAACTTTTTATAGCACCGATAAAGGAAAAATTGCGAAAATCATAAATTTTTAGTTACATCATATAATAAAAATATTTTTAATAATTTTAAACTTATATACCTACAGATTTGTTCGGAACCCTCGGTGCGCGAGTCCGATTCACACTTTGCCGGTTTTTTTTTCTTATTTCTCAGACGTGCAGGTTTCTCCAAGATGTTTTCCTTCGTCGCCGAGTAGGTGGTAAATCAGCACATAAAATTGCAATATTAACAATTTCATTGTTAATATTGCAATTTATCCCGTTTGCTCGCATACTGTAAAATTTATAGCGAGCGCTAACCATCTGAGCTACCACGGTTCCATATACACCATACATTCATTAAAATAATTGAATTCAATTTTGCGAGATCAATAAAGTCCAAGATGTCACGAATTGAGGCGAGTTTTACGATCGGTCCGGAACCCCGCTACGACCAAACCGCAAGGAATTTCTCCATTACTTATGTAGGTCACTCGTTTCCACGGTACAGTGCACATACATATTTTAAATAAATAAATTGCTTACATTTTATAAGAGATCTTGAGCAATTTATAACCATTTTTACGTGGCAGAGCCATAATGTATTATGGTTGTAGCACGAATGGGTCGGCTCTACCGGGGTAGAACCACGCTCTCACAGAATACCAGCGTAAAATAGCAGCTTAACGCTGCTGTTTTTCGTATGGTGAGTGTAGAGCACCGGATACCCATTTTAATCCTCAGAGGTGGCAACGCATCTGCAAATTGATTTTATAATGGAGGATAAATCTAGATGTCTATGGGCCTATTATTACACATTAAAGTTATTAAAAATTACTTTGCCTATGTCCGCTCAATGAAATAAAATGATTTATATATATCCCGCCCTCCCTCAATTGCGTGCACTATCCCCGTCACCTCTAATCCCAGCACCACTACTCCCATAATTAAAACTACTCCCATAATTTTAATAACTTTAAACTCTAAGCATCCACTTACCATCATGTGGACTGTGTGACGCTTGCCATTCTTATTCTATATTTAAAAAAGCCTACATCCGAAGATTTTTTTAATTATATAGCCGTTTATGTGTTACGGTGCGTACACATTATATATAACATGTTTCAGGAATGTGGAGGCTGAATGTTATAAAACGTGTTATATAACGCGACACAAATGTTATATAACTCGAACGGCGAACGACAAACGACAACGTCATACGACAATGTCATATAACATTGTTATATTGCATTGTTATTCTAATGTGTACAGTATTGTTATATGTTGCAATGTTGAAAAGCAATGTTATATAATGTGGACGTGTTATAAAACAAAAGTTACACAACATGTTACTTAATCTGTACGCACCCTTACAGTTGTCACAGAATCAGGTGGACTCTGTAATGTAATGACATGATATAATAGTATATTTATATGTTTCTCTCAATTTCCTAAAATTTAACACGTCTCGCAACTTATTATCAGACTTGTTGATATTTACCTATAGGTAAATACTAAATACCTACCTCCTGATATTGTTGTGAGTTGTGACAGATTGACAATGGCGGTACCATATAAAAGGAATAGTTGTATTATGTTTTATTGATATGTACACAAATATTCGCAAGTTTAAATACCAGAATATTACCACTACAGGCAATAACATTTTAAATATTTGTACTAAGCAATACAAATGTGTAATTAGTCGCAGTGTTTTTTCTTTTATGGAAAAGAACAAGTTTTGTTATTAAGTAAATGTATTGATATACTGCCTGGTCTGGCAGTCGTTGATCGTTGTTCTGCTATATTTGGTAGGTGGCGCGATGAGGTTCACCCAAATTCACTCTGGACTTTTTACAGTGTAATAATTTAAATTTATTAAATTCAATTATTTTACCTTTTCATGTTGTGGTCTAAGAAAACTCCCAAGTTCAAGGTAACAACTACATTTCGTATAAATTTGAATACATTTAAGTACTGTAAAATCTTCATCCCCTATTTTTCCACGTTTATGGATAGAATTTTTCTTTACCGAAAAACTAAAGAAAAGTTGGGACTCTAACCTGGCTACATTAGTTACTGCACCTACTTATAATACAAATAACACATAAAACGCCATCCGGATATCATAGCCAATATCATAGATGATACTCACAGAATGTCCTTTTTACTGGAAACGTGGCATTCCATCTTAGTCCTCAAGGGTGACAACGCATGTGCATTTTGATTTATAATGGAGGATAGACGTAGATATGTATGGTCCCGTAGATGTCTACGGGCCACAGCGCAGATAGTCCACGTGATGCTGAGTGGATCTCAGCATTACGTGGACTGTCTGCGCGTACTTGTACTGCCTTTTTATATGACTAAGGGAATAAAGCACACAGTCCTCCTGATGTTGAATGATGTAGATGTTGTAGATGTTGTCGCAGATAGAATATCTCTAACCTAGAGGTTAAGAAGGAGGAGTTAAGAAACAAGCCTCAGTACCGAAAGGGTTTTCGGTTCTTTACAATCACCATACGAAATACTGCAGCATTATGCTGGAATTTTACGCTGATATTATGTGAGGAGACAGTTTTTCCGTTGTTGTTCTGTGGATCCGACCGAATACTCCAGCAGCCATCATACAACTGCAGCGTGGCTCTACCATACCAGTCTACTACGAACGCAACGGCACGTCTTAATCGATCATCAAAAATTACTACATTATATAATTTAAATTTGCTAATTTTAGTAGTGTCTTAAAACTTAGTCTCAAAACTACGACCTGATTACACTACATTTCTATAAAATTTCCTTAGGAATGTTTTTTTTTAATATAGAATAAGAGTGACAAACGAGCACACAGTCCACCTGATCGTAAGTGGTTGCTGTGGCCCATAGACATCTATATCTATCTTCGTTTGCTAATTAACTAAGATAGAATGCCTCTTTTACAGTAAAATGGGTCTCCGGTCCTCTACACTCACCAATACGAAACACAGCAGCATTAAGTTACTATTTTACGCTGATATTCTGTGACAGCGTGGTCCTGCCCCGGTATAGCCGACCCATTCGTGCTATAACTATACTATTAATATAGCTACGGCATGGCTCTACCACGTAAATGTTTGCGAAAGGTGCCAAATACCCAATTTACCTGACTGCCCTAGAAGCAGGGATATATTATTCCAGTGCTTGTGGGTATGTCTATTTTTTGACGCGCTCTGTAGCCTAAATGGCTTTATAGATTTTTACATATGGGATGTCATTAGTTGGCCGCCACGTTAGTCTAGTGGTTGAAAGCATGACTGATGATCATGTTGCGCCGGGTCGGGCCATAATTAGTTTTTTCTCTCAAAAAGTTAGTGATATTGCTATGTCACCCCATGCCTCGAAAAGCACGTTAAGCCGTTAAATCTGCCCCTGATGTGTCGGATTTTCAGCTCATCGAACTATGCGAAATTAAGAGAAGGATTTATTCCCTGTGCAGCTGTTTTTGCGCACACACTCTTGCACTATAATTGTCCTGCGCAGAAAACCAGTCTCTGATGAAAGTTGTTATTAGATACGTCTTAGCTGTAGATGTAATATAGAGTTTAAAATTAATCTGTTTTCAGTAAACTTTCTTACGGTTTTTTAATTACTGTTTCTACCATTGGGGTTGTTACCTAGTTTTTCTTTTTTGTAACGTCTCGTAATATTTAACAACTAAATTAAGAAAACCAGCGAGTATCCAATTTAATTTTAATAGCTATTATACGGAAACATTTATTTATCTACTACTTGAATCTTTAAGCAAACTTATGAAAGGCCTTATGCCCGACACATTTGTCGAGAGCTTCCATCAAATCCACGATCTCTTCCTCACAAGTCTCAGCGGTGTATGGTTTTCCTTTAACTCTTGTCTCGCATTCTTTGAAAACTTCATAAAACTTTTTAACGTTGCAGTCATCTGGAATAATAGGAGGCGGTGCATACATTACTGCCCCAAATCGTCGAGCGAATACAGGGGCATTAATCAATGCTCCAATTTCTAGGACCTAATTAAACGACCATGCGACAAAATTAGATGAAGAATGGAAAATGGTTTATCAAATGTATAACTATATATACTACTAATGCTCGGAAATTAACTACAATATACAAAATCGTTACTTCGTCAGCTTGTGGATAGTCACGGAGACCCATGTCTAGGAGTGGCGTTCCAGCAGACGAAACAAAAACTAATCGCCTAGTTTGACAATCGGATTAGTGATCGCACACGATCTCAAACCGCTTTCGACAAACGCCAGTAGAAAAGAAAACTTTGATTAAAATATGAAATGCTCGGCGATGAAGGAAAACATCCTGAGGAAACCTGCACGTCTGAGAAATGAAAAATTTTTCGAAGTCCGTTAACAAGCATTGGTGCAGCGAAGCTAACACTTTCTACCCCAAAATCCTGAGAGGCTTTAGGGGTAGAAAGTCAAAGAGCCTGTGTCCAACTTTTTATATAGAATAGGATAGACAAAAGAGGCCCTGGTCCTGATAGTAAAAGACCGCCGTGACATCTTCATCTAACATCGATTAAGATGGAATGTTTCGTTACCAGTAGGGTCTACGCTTCCCTACACTCACCATTAGAAATACGACAGTTTTGTCCTGCTGTTTTACGCTGGTATTCTGTGAGACCGTGGTCCTATCCCAGTCGAGCAGACTTATTTGTGCTACAAATTTATATTATAGCTGTAGCGTGACTCTAACACAATGGCGCAGTGACTTAGCAATGAGTTGTGGCGCTGAGGGTCGCGGGTTCTAATCCCGCACGGAACAAGTATTTGTATGGCTTACAATTATTGTTCCGGGTCTGGATGTTTATCTTTGTGCAATTTATGTATGAAACTGCCTCGACGATACAGAAGAAAATCCTAGTGTGGGGGTAACGTTTTTAAAAAATACAATAACAAATAAATAAATACACTGTTAATTTTTTATATGCGCAACTCCATATAAGGCCATGATATTTTCCTCGTGACGAGACAAGACGAGGTGCTTTTACATCGTCACCATACAGTGATAACTATAATGTAGTTTCTTAAAAAAGTAAATTCTAATAAACGAAAGTAGCTTATGTTTAAACAAGAGCGAATAAAATAGTATATATACCCTCCAAACATATTCCTCGTTCCTTAATTAACTGATCTCCAGAGTTCTGTAAACAAAAATAAAGTAAGTTTATGTACATCCGTGCATCCCACTGCTGTGCACAGGTCTCGTCTCATCTATGAGAGCAAGAGAGTCAAATACGTGTTGGCAACTAAAAAGAACCGTGTTGTGTTGGTGTAAGATTATCCACTACCCTATCCTCTGGATGTCGTAAACAGCGACAGAGGGAAACAATTCAGGAGATGGGCAGCGGCGTCTTCCTAATAACAACTTGTCGTGGAACACTCGTTTGGAATGAAGTTTTTTCGTAGTATATTATTATTGATAAATGTATTATATTATTGATTAACAAATACAAATAATAGAATGAGGGTATCCACGACATTTTCTGCCACCAGGGCGGCGCCACTTAAAAGTGGGGTATAATATTTGACAGATTTCATAGCGGGGATGTTAATTTGTTCGGAAAATGTAAAGTTTAGTTTGTTTTTGTACTATATTTTATATTAATAAATTTAAAAATAAATAAATCAAACCACAGATATTTGAGGCACTCATACCGTCCGATAAGGAACTCCCGCTTGTCAAGCGTGGCAACTATGGCAAATATCCCCCTTGTGAGGCAATCTATGGGAAGAGGCCTGTGTTCAGCAGTGGACTTTAATAGACTGTAACGGTAGCGGTAACTAAAAAATAATAATCTACCTACATGATTTTTTTCATACCAATTTTTTAACACGAACTCCATTATCTTGTTAAAGTTTAAGGATAAATGCTAATTGAAACCTTATTTTGCTGTTGTCGTCAGCACACGGTAAAGCTATAATTGTTACAAATTACAATAATAATAATAATAATTTATTTCGATAACATATTGTCTACTTTTATAGATAGTGATCGAAGACAACTTTTAAGCAAAAATCATGCCTGTATTAGGTGCCTTGAATGAATGAATGCTGACCATGTTGAAATTCTTATATATTTCTTACAAACTAAATTACTCTACAATTTCGGTAATTAAAAAACTACTTAAAACTAGATCAGTTTAAAGGTAACTACCTACTCCGAGCTGAAAAAGACGTTTGAGGCACTTTAATTGTATAACATTCGAAGACGATATTATACTTAACGGTCTTAAAATACAAATGTTGGCAGGTGCAAAACATCTCATCTTATATGTAAAACTTAGAAAAATGTGATACATTAATAACTAGCAACAACCCCCCCCCCCCCCCCCCCACACACACACAATTTAAAACTTACAAAAATGTGGAATTACATTAATAACTAGTAATAAGAGTAGCATGAAGTTGGTTCAAGCGTTTTCATTTCGGGAATTTTGATGTCAAAGAGCTCTTTTTTTTGTTTGTGTTATTTGCAGCTCGTTCTGATGCCATTTTTGAAAAAATGGAGCAAGATCCGAATTGAAGAAGATGGGTAACAAAAGGGGGACTTAATGCCTGTCGGCATTCTTTGCCAGTCAACCCGTGGAGTGGTGAGATTTTGTAGCAGGTGCTATTATATGTATATACATACATCCTAAGAGTACATACATATAATATACAAAATCTATACCATAGTGTATATTAATACATGAAAAAGCATGCATGATATAATATATAATACATATAGATAAAGTTTATAATAACTGATTTTATACATTGTTATAGTAAATGAAAATTTTAAAAAAAACATAGTATATTGTATTGTTTTTTTTATTTTTTCGAGTGAGCAACACTCACAAACCATCAACTTATTATATTTGAATTTTTAACATCGCTCAATCTGGTTTGTGCGGGACGGAATCAGTCCGAATCGGTTCCCATTGAGCTCTGCTCCATGGACCGGTTCAAAGACAATGTTCATAATTAACGGTATTGTTAGTCCTCACGTTGATGTAGAGCTTGTGTGTAGATGAGTGTAGCTGATTCATTTCAATCAATATTAAAATTTAATTGAAAGTTTTAGTTGTGTAGTTTCATCCTGCCAGTTTCACTATAGATGATTATACTCCAAGTCATTTTAATTTTATTAGAGGCATTCTTAATTTTGTTTCTTAAATATAAACACTTGGCCGTGCAACACACTTTTAAATATTTTGTGATATTTTTTTACATATTCTCTGAATGAAACACTATGATTACCTATATAATCTTTAATTGTAAAGGTCATACAACTTTTGTCTACTCCTATGGATTCCTACTGTCGCTCACACATTAAACGATTTGCGACTGTTATTATATTGGCAAACATTACAAAGATTTTCCTTAGAAAATGATACTTGGCGGTTTTGCTTCTACTTTTATATTTTTAGGGCTCGTTTTTCAATTGTCCGATGATAGTTATAACCAGCTGTTCCCCGCGACTTCGCCCGCGTGTAATTTAACGTTTTAACTTTAACGTTATGTTGCGCGGAACCTTAATTTTTTTTTCTAAAATAAAAGTAGTCTATGTTACACTTTATAATATCTGCTATCTGTCAGTGAAAGTCCCGTCGAAATCGATCCAGCCGTTTCAGAGATTAGTCGGAACAAACAGACAGACAAAAAAATTAAATATTTAAAATATATATATATATTAATATTAAATTTGTTTATGTTTTATCCTATGAATAACTTTTATTTTAACACGCAAAATACGCGCATAGACGTGGAGTTGCGGAAAACAGCCCGTCGTAAACTAAACTAAAAACTTTTATCTATAGGAATAAACATGCATTAATCATTCCTATATCTTTAATAAATAAACTAATTTAGGTCTGCAAGATTTTATCGGCATTTCTTTTAATCAACGGAGTGAATTGGATTATAGGATTGTTTTTTGTTTACATAGTCAACCTAGTTTCTATTAAATTAAATATTAATTCATTTTTTTTCTCAGGTTTCACCTGATGTGTAAATTGAATAAATGGAAAACTGAAAACATCTATGAAAAAGAAGTGCCACGAAAATATTTGGCAGTGCAACACTACTGAATGTAGGTATTCGTTTTTGTAGTAATAAAAAAATCATGTTCAATAAATATGTACATAGTGTTAATAAATGATAATGATAATAATACTATCCAAAATTACGTGACCAACCCTAGCATATAAAAAACTACACGGGCGGCGGTATCGGCTGACATCAAAGGCGCTTCCAAACTGTATTCCATGTCATTGCAGTCCATGGACACTTGCAGCCAACTTCAATCAAATACCGGTACAGATGCGTTGTCACTTACTTATATGGAATGTCGGATAGATTGTAATTATACTGGCTTTCCAAACCCCTCAGACGGGACACAGCAGTGCAAACGCTGCTATTTCAATCATGCCATTGAAATCGTTTTTTTACGTGGTAGAGCCATGCTGCAGCTATATTAGTAGCATAATTGTAGCACGAATAGTTCGGCTCAATCGGGAAGGATCACGCTCTCACAGAAAGAATACCAGCGTAAAATGGCAGCTTGACACTGCTGCGTTTCGTATGGTGAGTGTAGAGAACCGGATACCCATTTTACTGGAAAAGAGGCATTCTATCTTAGTCCTCATGGGTGACGACGCATCTGCATTTTGATTCTTTATTGAGGATAAATGTAGATGTCTATGGGTCACAGCAACCACTTACCATCAGGTGGACTGTGTGCTCGTTTGTCACCCTATCTTATAAAAAAAAATCACGTTGGAACCATGTATCACAAAGTTTTATCTCTATTGGTACTTAGTTGTGTTATTGTACTTATTGCAAGAAATTCAATTGACACCGGTGTTAATTTACCATCAACATCATCATCATTATCATTATTACAGTATAACAAGAATCCAAAGCTGAATAAGATCTCTCCTTCCACTACCCTAAATGATGACATTTAGCTTTTATCTAAATGACTTGTTAAAATTGACTTTTTTCCTCATGACTTGGATTTTTTGTTTGACGGGTTTTGTATAGGCAGCGACGATGACAATAATTTTGTTTGTACATATACAATAAAGCGTACCTAATCAAAAATCACAACCCGATAGCACAGTGGCTAAGTGTTTGGTTGCGGCACTGCACGTCCACGAGTTAGAATCCCGCATGGAACATGTATTTATTAAGCCTACAAATTATTGTTCCGGGTCTGAATGATTGATGGATGGAGATGGAGATTGTGCAATGTATTTTATACGATACAGGAGAAAATCCTACAGTTATCGGGAAGATGCCGCTGCCCATCTTCTATTTCAGTTTCCCCTCTGTCGGCTTTTTGGGTGTACCACACCAATCGATCGATCGTCGATCGATGCCATAGATCGATGTCGATCGATTAGTAACTTTAGCTCATCGACGGATACTGGTCGATAAAACAATGTTTAATCATCGATCGACATTTAATCAATGTGGTTGTAGCCTCATCATCAGTATATTTCAAATGTATTCAGAAGAGGACAATAGGGAGCTCGGTGGAGCGGGGCGGGTTCTCGAATAATCAAGGAGCATTCTACCATCGAAAGCTGTCATCGATCGATCGTGTGGTAGAAACTATCGATCGACGTCGACTAATCCATTCCGCCATCGATCGATTTGTGTTGTAACACCATTACGACTTCCACGGGATGATAAAATGGCGCAGTAGATTCTGTTCCGGCACCAACTCGCAGCAAAGGCCTCGCTCGCGTGTTCGTATAAGAATTATGCATATAAAGTTAAATACCTAGGACATGTAAGAACAAAACAAATATTAAACAAGTTATATTATAAAGAAACATTTAGATTTGTACGGTTAATCTATTTCACGATGAAGGTTTGACTTTGGTTGTTGTTTGCCGTGTACATACACATTGTGTTAGTGTGCGTAGGCTGCGGGCGCTCGCGAGTAGCGCTCCCGAGGCCTACGCACACTAACACAATGTGTATGTGCACGGCTAACAACAACCAAAGTCAAACCTTCATCGTAAAAATAACTATAACTAGAAACTTAATATATGTGTGAAATTCACATAGACTGTTTGATTTGGAAGCTATAACGACTTTATTTGCTTTACACGTACTTGTACGTGCTCGTTATGTTTACTTGTCAATTTGTTCATGATGAGATGGACACGATACATGACAACGCGTAATTTATATAAAACTAGCTGACCAGGCAGACGCTGTTCTGCCCTTTTCGACGACCCTTCATATAAAAAATCCTTAAATTCGTTATAAAAAAAATATTGAGTGTCACTTATCAGGATAAAAACTATCCTATCTCTCTAGTTGGACCAAACAAACTGCACAGAGTGTGCAAACTTTCATTGAAATCAGTTTAATAGTTTAGGAGTTCATCGCGGACAAACAACGTGACATGTAATTTTTATATATAAAGATTATTATTAAAAAAAAAACAAAGATACCGTCTGCAAAGATCTAAATCAAAGAGTTTCGGTAGCAACTATAGACTATACCAAAATGAAATCTAAGGACGCACAATTTGTAAGGGTCGATCGTTAGGCAATAACGTTGTCCATAAATCACATTCAATTTGAGATAATTTCAAATAAAAGTAGAAGCCTTATAATTACTCATATTTTCATAAACTTTATATATGTGAACTTAAGTTAAAAATTTAGCTACTCTGAAAAATAACCCTGTCTATCATTGTTTGTACGTCTATTAGTAATCGTATAACTTCTAAACTGGACGGTTACGTTACGAGATCTAATTCACACGATATATTTACATACTAGCTGTTCCCCGAGACTTTGCCCTCGTATAATTTAGGGTTTTAATTTTGTTGCGCGGAACC